TGCCCACATAATATATTTTTTATAAAATATGTGTGTGTTCTTTTATATACATACTCATTGATAAGAGACTACAATTCCAAATTAAAAGCTTTTGACTACGTCTACTTGTTACAAAATAAAACGCAACAAACAGAACTGAACAATATTCAAGGAAAGACACCTAACAAAATATATCATGTCGGAACTGCTTTCTGATTTGTAATTTCTTTTATCAGTTTTGGTTTGAAACTTAGAAGGACAAAGGAGTGGGAGTAGGCCATTCAGCCATTTAAGCATGTTCCAGCACTGAATAAGATCATGGCTGATCTGTGGCCAAACTCTATATATATCTTCCTTTGCCCATATCCATTAATACCTTTACTAAACAAAACAAAATCTATATATCTTAGATTTAAAACTGAACTGAGAGCTACAAGTAGTAGACTCCGATTTGCAGTTGTTTTTCTTTTAAAAATTGTTATTTGTTTCTGAGACCAGGTCTGAAAGTTAATTGCAGGTTGCCACTTGGTCAAATAGATGCTTCAACTCCAGAGGACCTTATGCTCAGACATATGGTCAACTGGGATGTTGAGGGGAGAGGGTCAGTCGGGAAGGGAGAGACCAGAGTTTGAACTGCTTCATGGACTGCGTTTTAATCAGAGGTATTGTGCCTGTGAAAGTTGCGACAGCCGAGTCCCTGGTGAAGTCTGGAGTGTACTGGAGGCAGGTCCTCCGTGGGGTCTGGAGCAGACTAGGGGTGAATGCCCAGTGGTACCCGGAGCAGTCTGGAAGTGAGAATCTGGTGCGGTCTGGAGCAGACTGGAGCTGAGTCCCCATTATGGTCTGAGTCAAGGAAAGGCATGGCTTAGAGGCAAGTTTCAAACGCATGTAAATCCAGCCCCTCAGAATTTCCTTAAATGAGTTATCTGGGCCTCCTGCAGTGCCACAACGATGCCACCCGAAGGTTGCAGGAACAGCACCTCATATTCCGCTTGGGAACCCTGCAGCCCAATGGTATCAATGTGGACTTCACAAGCTTCAAAATCTCCCCTCCCCCTACCACATCCCAAAACCAGCCCAGCTCGTCCCTGCCTCCCTAACCTGTCCTTCCACCCACCTATCCCCTCCTCCCACCTCAAGCCCCACCCTCATCTCCTACCTACTAACCTCATCCCAATCCCTTGACCTGTCCGTCCTCCCTGGACTGACCTATTTCCTCCCGAACTCCCCACCTACACTCACCTTTACTGGCTCCATCCCCACCTCTTTGACCTGTCTGTCTCCTCTCCACCTATCTTCTCCTCGACCCATCTTATATCCGCCTCCCCCTCTCTCTCTATTTATTTCAGAAACCCCTTCCCCTCCCCCATTTCTGAAGAAGGGTCTAGGAGCGAAACGTCAGCCTTCCTGCTCCTCTGATGCTGCTTGGCCTGTCGTGTTCATCCAGCTCTACACCTTGTTATCTCAGATTCTCCAGCATCTGCAGTTCCTACTGTCCCTGTCCGTATCTGCTTTGGGAATATGAAAGTGCAGTTATCAGTCTTTCTCTGACATTTACTGCTATGTGCACGTGAGAGTGTACTTACCAATCTGTCCCTGTCAGACACTGTTGTGTATGTGAGACTATAGTTATTAATGCCTGTCAGTATCGAGTTTGTGAATGTGAATAAATGTTTCATTCTGTACCTGTCAGTTTCAGCTATGAGAATGGGAGTGTTGTAATCAGTCTCTACATGTCAGTTTCTGCTGTTTCAACAGGAGTTTAGTTATTGATTTGTCCCTGTCAGATTCTGCTCTGTGAATATGCAAATGTAGTTGTCGATCTGTACCTGTTAGTTTCTACAATGAGAATGTGTGTGTGTATCTAATAACCTGTCCCTGTCAGATTCTGCCCTGTGAATTTTACAGTGCAATCATTATTCTGTAATTGTCAGTTTCTGCTTTGTGAATGTATGATGCAATTATTAATCGTTACCCATCAGTTCCTAGTTTTTTGAATGTGTTAATGCAATTATCACACTGTACCTGTCAGATTTTTTGGTTTTTGAATGTCTGTGCAGTTATCATTCTCTCCCTGGCCTTTACAGCTATTTGAACGTCTATGTGAAGTTATCCAACTATGCCTGGCAGTTTCTGTTCTGTGAATATATATGTCGTTATCATTCTGTTCCTGTTAGTTTCTGCTGTATGAATGGCTGAGTAGTTACAAAACTGTAACTATTAGTTTCTGCTTAGTGAATATGTGAGTGAAGTTATCAATCCGTACATCTCAGTTTACGTTATGTTCAACTAGATATGTTCTCATCAATTTATTCCTGTATATTTTTACCTTGTGCATATGTATGTGTATTTATCACTGGTGCCTGTCAATACTTGCTGTGTGTATGTCTGAGTGTATTTACCAATCTGACCCTATTAGTTTCTGCTTTGTAAATGCTTAACTACAGGTATCGATTTGTACCTGTCAGTGTCAGTTTAGTGAACATGTTTGTGTAACTATCAGTCAATCCATGACAGATTGTGCTACGTGAATGTGGCAGTGTATTTATCAATCTTTCCCTATTGGTTTGTAGTTATCAATGTGTACCTATCAGCTTCTGCGATCCAAATAAATAAATTTAGTAGTCATGCCGGAAGACTGGAGGTCGGCTAATGAGATGCCACTATTAAAGAAAGATGGTAAGGAAAAGTCAGGAAACTATAGACCAGGGAGCCCGACATCAGTGTTGGACAAGTTGTAGGAGGGGAACCTGAGGGACAGGATTTCCATATATTTGGAAAAGCAAGGGCTATTTAGGGATAGTCAACATGGTTTTGATTATGGGAAATCATGTCTCACTAATGTGACTGAGTTTTTTGAAGAATTAACAAAGAGGCTTGAAGAAGGCAGAGTGGTGGACGTGATCTATATGGACTTCAGTAAGGCATTTGATAGGGTTCCTCATGGTAGAGTAGTTTGTGAGGTGAGATCACACAGAATAGAGGGAGACCTAGCCAGTTGGAAACAGAACTGGTTCAAAGTTCGAAAACAGAGGGTGGTGGTGGTGGTGGTTGCTTTTCAGATTGGAGGCCTGTGACCAGCGGTGTGCTACAAGGATCAGTGCTGCTCCACTGCTTTTTGTCATTTATATAAATGACTTGGATGTGAACAAAGGTGTTATGGTTAGTAAGTTTGCAGATGACACCAAAATTGGAGGTGATACGGACAGCAAAGAAAGTTACTTCAGAGCACAATGAACAGGACCTTGATCAGAAGGGCGAATGAGCCAAGGAGAGGCAGATGAAGTTTAATTTAGATAAATGCGAGGCGCTGCATTTTGGAAAGGCAAATCAGGCAGGACTTGGAAACTTAACGGTAAGGTGCTGGTGAGTGTTTCTGAACAAAGATTTCTTGGAGTGCAGGTTCATAGTTCGTTGAAAGTGGAGTCGTAGTTTTTGATCTATACCTGTCATTTTCCGCTATGTGAATATGGGAGTTTAATTATCAATCTGTACCTGTCAGCTTCTGCTAAGTGGATATGGCAGTATAGTTAGCTATCTGTCTGTCAGTTTGTGCATGCGAGTGTAGCTAAAATCCCCCATTTCAGACAACATCATGGGAGACATTTTTTGTATCCTCTCCAAAGTGGATGAGCTGAAGGATATTTTTCTGTGCTGTAGACCTCTATCACTCTGTATGTACAAGTGATAATCATATTGTACGCATCATTTTCAGTTACATGCACTGTACATGGATTTCCATAGCCATTAGTCCTTGTGGTTATCGTGTTTGCTTTTGGATCTAATTTTACATCAGTAAGGAGCTGTGTGCGCATGCGTGCAGTAATCATTGTCTATTTGACAGAAACAAAAACAGAAATTCCTGGAAAAATTCAGTTCTGAAGAAAGGTCACTGTACCCAAAACATTAACGCTGCTCTCCCTCCATAGCTTCTGCTTGCCCTGCCGAGTTTCTCCAGCAATTTCTGGATTGGTTTCTGATTTCTAGCATTTGTAGCTCTTTGGTTTGTTTACTTGTCAGACTTTGGCACAGAATGCGTGTTTGGAATTCACATTATTTATTTGTTACGCCTATCTTAGGGATAAAGATTTATGAAAGGAGTCATTCTGTCCTTTTCAGTGGTTCCTAACTAAGTGTAAGTCTGACTCATCCTTTACTTTGGGGACTATGTCCTGTCTGAGAGTGCAGTTTCCTTCTATATTTCTATTTAACACCTACCTTATACAAGATTGTTGAAACTATACAAAAACTTAATCACTTTATTACCTTAGTTGTAACTTTAATAATGCCCTTAATAGATATAGATTTGATTTCAGTACTGTGTGTATATTTTGGATGAGGATTCAGCCTATCCCTCTTCAAAAGTGGTGTTAATGTCAATTGGCTGTGAAACGTGACATTTATTGGAAATGGAGTGGTTTGCCTTGTGAATGTAGGAAGAAAAATAATAAACCTGTAGTTCCTTGGTGGTGTCTGACACTGTTTGAAAATATCTCGCTGAAAATTGAGCTTATTGTGA